TGAGGACTTACACTGTGTGCCTTGAAGATAGGGACAGAGGCGAAGGTCCACTGGGTGGACCAGAGCACACTCTGTTAAAAACAAGGGACTTGATACAACTGGACATTAGACTTTCTTGCAGCACTCCAAGGAGCTCAGCTACAACAGAAAGGAACACAGTGACACTGAGAGACTTCATCAGAGGAACCCACTGGGTGCTTCCTAATAGAAGTGAAATACGTGCAAGGGCCCAGGGCACAATGTAGGTAGAATCAGCCTAGCAAATGGAACAGCAAGTGAAAGAGGCCAAAGCATGACAAAGGGTAGAGTGGGTGTGCTTAGGGAAGGTGAGCACTGTTATTAAGCAGGATTTATTGGAGGTGGTAGAGCTAGTGAGGATGCTGTGAGGGAACAGGAGCTGAATCAGGAGAGGCCAGTGTAAGGGGTATGAAAGTGGGACGAAAGCTTTACCAGAATGGTCCTAAGTGTGTTTCAGAACCCATGGCAGGGGAAGTTAATCACTGGAAAAGATCAATGATATATTAATTAGGAGAATAACATTGATTGTATGCTTAGTATGTTCTAAAAGTATGCACAGTGTTTTTACACATCACATGCCTTGCTAAGAACAGCCATGTACATTAAGTATTTATTCACTGACTAGCCTTTGTCCCTGTCTTCAAAGCTATTCACAGAACCTTTCCTAGACAAACCTAATCCTGATCGTCACTGGGAGTCAGGAGTCAGACAGGAGCCTGGAAATTTTCTGGATCTTCTCACATAACTGCAGATATGAGTGTATATATTTTTTAAATGTTGTTGGAGAAGGAGAACAGGCAGATTTTTTTCCCTTATGTCTGAGCAATACAGAAAGACTTTCTGTAATAAGTGAGCAGCTTGTTCCAGAGATGCCAAAGGCTACCCTTGACACTTTGAGGCATTGTGCTAATTGTATTATCAAAATCACACGAGATTTTTTTTTTCCTTCTGCACAAATATTGGAACAGAGCAATTGGCTACTCTGTACCCAGTTCAAATCAAGCCTCAAGGGCAAAATACTCGGGACAAATTAAAACAGAAGATCATACATGTTCCTTCCTATTCAAATGGAACAATTACAGCATAAGTCAAGGTGAAAAACTGAAACAAAAACAAAAACTAGTATGGGCCAGCCATTCTTTCCAACTTCTGTATCTTTTCTTCTGACAGACATGCTCTTCCCATGTGGGCTACACATTCTTTGAAAGTCCAAGAAGCAGTACAAAGGTGGCATACATACAATTTCATTCACCACTTCATTCTATCCTAAGCCAGTCTTGCCTCCCTTTTCTTTTACTGTGTAATTCCAGTCATATAAGCCCTGTGTCCATATAATATTCCATTATAATTCCGCCAATCTTATCTCCTCTGTTTGACTATATAATCTTTTGCTAATAGTCCTATGTTCGATGACATTTTAAATATGAATACATTTCCATTCTTAATAATTGCTACTTTATCCTGCAGTCCTTTCATTAACACTGGATAATGAGACTGAAGCTGATAAATTCCTGAAGAAGCTAAACACAGGAAATATTTTTAAAAAGTGGCATATGATTTCTGAATTTAAATGCCAAAACAAAGACAATGTCTCAAAAAAATCAGAGTTTGCTGAAAAAAGAGATCGAAGAGGATATAAGAAAATGGAAAGACATCCTCTGCTCCTGGGTAGGAAGAATCAACATAGTGAAAATGGCCATACTGCCAAAACTGCTATACAGACTCAAGGCAATGCCAATTGAAATTCCAACACTATACTTCACAGAACTACAAAGAAGAATCCAAAAATTCATTTGGAACCATAAGAGACCTAGAATAGCAAAAGCAATCCTAGGCAACAGACACATGGCAGCGGCTATAACAATTCCCAATTTGAAACTATACTACAAAGCCAATGTGATAAAAACATCATGGTACTGTCAAAGAAACAGATCTGAGGATCAGTGGAACAGACTGGAAGACACAAAAACAACTCCAGATGTACTCAGCTACCTCATCTTTGACAAAGGAGCTGACCATCCCCACTGGAGGAAAGATAGCCTCTTTAATAAATGGTGTTGGAAAAACTGGATCTCAACCTGCCAAAGATTAAAACTAGACCCTTATCTCTCACCATGCACTAAAATAAATCCAAATGGATGAAAGATCTAAATATTAAAACAGAAACACTAAACTTGCTGGAAGATAAGTAAGGCAGAACTCTGGAAGACATTGGCATAAGAAAAGATTTTATGAACAAATACTCAGTAGCACAGGAACTAGCAAAAAGAATCAACAAGTGGGATCTCATCTTATTAAAAAGCTTCTGCACTGAAAAAGAAACCATCAACAGAACTAACAGACAAACTACAATGTGGGAAAAAAATTTACCAGCTGCTCCTCAGACAAAGGACTATTATTTAGAATATATAAAGAACTCAAAACAGACCAAACTCAAAAATGGGTGTCTGAAATGAACAGACATTTCTCAGACAAAGAAGTAAAAGCAGCAAGCAAATATATGAAAAAATGTTCCACGTCACTGGTCATTGGAGAGATGCAGATGAAAACAACACTGTGATTCCACCTCACCCCACAAAGAATGGCTGCTATCAAGAAATCAAACAATAACAAATGTTGGTTGGTTTGTGGGGAGAAAGGAACCCTTCTCCATTGTTGGTGGGAGTGCAGACTGGTGCAACCACTATGGAAATCAATATGGAGATACCTCAAAGAACTGGGACTAGAGGTTCCATTTGACCCAGCCATAGCTCTGCTGGTGTCTTTCCAAAAGAACTAAAAGAATCACATTACAGTGACATATGCACACCTATGTTTATTGCAGCACAGTTTGTAATAGCTAAAACTTGGAAACAGCCCATTTGCCCATTAGTTGGAAACTGGAAAAAGAACATGTGGTTTTTCTATAAAATGGAATACTACTCAGCCATAATGAATGAGAAACTAGAGTCATTCATAGGAAAATGGATACATTTTGAGGATATACTCCTAAGTGAAATAAATAAGTCACATGTGTAAATACTGAATAGTTTCTCTGCTGTGAAAAACTATAATAGTACTCAAAATCCTAATGGATAATTAACAATGTGAAATAGGAAGAAAAGGGCTAAAGGTGTAGGGAAAGTGGGGAGTGTTAGGGAAGGGGAATAAGGGAAAAGAAAAAAATGTGAGAAAATGAAAAGCTGGAATTAAAGTGTTTGTAAATGGGGAGGGGAGGAGGGGGTGAAGGGAGGGCAGGGACAAGGGGAAAAAATGAGAACCAAGACTTGTCATGTAAAGGTACAAGATCCAGTAATGAATGTAACTGTACTGTATGCCTATAATGTACCAATAAACTCAATGAGGGAAAAAAATATATAAAAATAAAAATAAAAGTGACTGTCAAAAAAAAGAGAACCTCAGAATACATGATGATTGCAGAACTAATTTGCTCATTAGAAGAAATAAAGTCTACTGCTAATGAGAAAGGAAGAATAAAAGGAGGGATAGAAGTAACTCATTGAAAATTAATTTGGGGACCAGGGATTTAGCTCAGTGGTGCTGCCTCCTGCCTTTCAAGCGCAAGGTCCCAAGTTCAATTCCTGATACCAAAAAAAAAAAAAAAAAGTTTTAATTTGGGATTATTAGTATGCATTTCTAGAAAATGATCCTTTCCTTATCCCCCCTTATAACAGATATGATGATTAGCAGTGCTGTACTTTGTGCTATGGTTTGAATATAGTTGAATGTGTTGTGCAAGACTCATGTTCTGGAATTTTGATTTCCAAGGTGGTGATGTGATGGGGGGCTGTTATATGGTAGAAAAAATAAAAATAGGTACAAATGAGACAGGAAACCATAATTTTAAATTTTCATTCTAAAAAACTGAAGTTTACATTCTTTCATTTCCAGCTACTGACTCCTCAGTTCCTCAGTCTTAAAAAAAAAAAAAAAACACAATTGCATAGGTCCATGACTTTCTCATGTAAAAGGGGCTTCCACCTGTGAACAGGCCATATTCTTTCAGCTGTAAAATGGGCCACTGCCTTTTGCCCATATTTTGAGACTGCACTTTCTATAGATTCCTAAATTCAACAGATTTCCACTCCTCTCAAAAAACACACACATATCCTGACCCAGACCATAATGAGCCTCTTTTGAGAGCCTGTGGATCAGAAGTAAAATACAATTCATTTTTTGTTGTGTTTTTTTGTTTGTTTTTGTTTTTGTTTTGTGGAACTGGGGATTGAACTCAGGACCTTGTTCTTGCCAGGCAGATGTCAGTGCCACTGAACTACATTCGCAGCCCCTCAAATACAATTTAAATGGCATTAAGATTAAGGCATTAGTATGGCTGCCTTTCTTTCTTGAGGCTCTAGGTCCACCTTCATTTAGGTTTTTCACAGAATTCATGGTCCCCTGGTACACAGCCTCCTATTTTATAGAACCATATCAAATCACAACTCCAAAAAGAACTAGAACATCAACCAGGACATTGAATTCTCATGCTGCCATCTGTCTTTTCTCTCTGACTTCATTTTTCTGAAAAGTTTCTCCACTTAAGGATTTGTTTGATTAAAATGAAATCCACTGGATAATACAGAATAGTGTTGCCATCTCAAGTTTTATACTCTTAATTCAATCTGCAAAGTCCTTTTTGCCATGGACAACATATTCATACCTTTCAGGGATCAGGATATGGACATCATCAGGGACAATTACTGCACATGGGCACAAAGATTTCCATATAGTGTTTATTATTCTACATAGCTTATGTTCTCATGCAGGGTAAATAACTCTGAAAGTCATTAGTTTCTTATTTAGAACAAGAATATTCTCACATTTACAGGAACTATCAAAACCCTTTATCTTTCATCTTTTCAATTTACTTCTGCTTTAATTATTAAAGATTTTGCCTTTGTTTTAGATAAGTACATTTTTGAAATCCAGAACTATGATTTTCCCACACAGTGAAGTTTCACAACCTATCAGAAGTTACTTACCTGGTCACACCACACTACTCTCAAAGCTTACTTTTCCTCTGGCACTTTGGTAATATATACTCAGCCTTGGAAGCTTTGGTACCTGGATACTTCCTTCTTTGAAATGTCAGACACAGTCACCTACAAACAAAATCAAGGAAGAAGGAACTGTCAGATCCATGTTTTAATTCTTTTAGAACAAAATGTAAGATATATTTGTGAAACATAATCAATATATCCTGTCCTAATGAATGTCCTGTTTAATTTTATAAATTGATTAACACCGGATGATTGGATATCAATGGGTGAAAGGTTGAACTTTGTAAAATAAAACAGTGTTGCAGCAGAACTGATAAGAGCTGGTTTCGGCGTGTGTAATCATTCTTTTCCTAAACCCCACAGCCTGACATTTCCATTTTAGGGGAAAGTTACTTAGTAGATATGGCAGAAAAAATATATAAGAGATTGCAAGATTTTTTTTAAAAATCACCCTATGAAAAAGAGTCATGATTTTTGTTGGAGGCAACATGAGATAGCATTTGGGTGTGGGAAGTCAAAGAAAGATGAAATCAACTGTGGGGTTTGGAATAAAAAAAAATGCCAATATCAGAATACAAAAATAAAAACTGAAACATGAAGTTTACTAGGAGAAATAAAACCATAATTTTTATTCACCCGAGACAAAAAATGATAGCCCTAGAGCAACGAAATATTGGCTAAGTCAATGACTACTGACGGTTTAAGAATAGAGAAATGACCAATCATCATTTTCAGTCTAGGGTGAATGGTCAAGGACTATATAAATGGATCTATAGGTAATTTCTCGAAAGATCTGCAATGAATTTACAACTGTGACTGTCTGTTAGTTGTAAGATGGAAAAATTAAGAAACAGATTAGTTTCTACTTTTTTTATTAAATAATTGAATTTATTGGTACATTTTAGGGATACAGTACAGTTACATTCATTGTTGGGATCTTGTACCTCTGCATGACAGGTCTTGGTTCTCATTTTTCCCCCTTGTCCCTGCCCTCCCTTCACCCCCTCCTCCCCTCCCTATTTACAAACACTTTATTTCCATCTTTTCATTTTCTCTTTTCAACTTACATACTTGTGTACATGATTCATTTCTTTGATTTTCTGTCAAAAAAGTTAACCCTCAAAAAACAAATAGCAATTCTAAAGATGAAAAAAATACAACAAAAAATTAAGAACAGATAAGGAGAAAATTGGAAAGTAGATTTTTGAAAACTAAGTGAATTTTTAAAAAGGCATAAATAACACAGAAAAAATTGAATATGCTGAAGAGGGATGAAATATTTGCTACTAATTTCTGAGTAGGAGAAAAGACAAAGAGTGGGAAAGGAATATCTGAAGATGTTTTTCTCATATGATTTCTTCCTATTTCTCTACATAGGATTTTCATTAAACATACTCTTTGTCTAACAGAGGGTCATCACTTCCTATAGAAGATTAATTATACCAAATGATGAAAATCAGGTTAAATGAGTAGAAATATTAGTGTTAAGTCATGTATTCCTTTGGAGTTGAGGTTCCCGATGTTAACAGGAAGGTAAGACTTTAGGTTATCCAGAGGACAAAAGACAAGAATATATTTAATGAATCTGACAGATGCATGGCCATATGAGAATTAAGTTATAGAAGAAAAGAGTCTGTTTATGAAAATTAAAACAAGTCCCATCCTAATGACCAAGCACATTCTAATCTGACACTGACAAGGAAAACTTGTTTCTTCCTCACTGCACTCCAATTTAAAATTACACCTCACTGTTGACCTTTCTCACAGAAAACAAACAAGGTGGCAAGTGGGGATATCGAGAAGTATGATGATTTTGGCTGAGTGGATCTGCACAACTGCTTCATGGTTCTCTTGCTAGTTTATAGGAGTGACCTCGGTCCCTGTGTGCACAGTAGCCTGGACATCACATTTCTCCAGTATGAGTACTCTTCAGCATCTGCTCAAGCCCAACTCTATCACTCTGCTCCTGGTCCTCTTCCTGAGCCTGGGGACCAGCACAGCTCAAAAAGATGAGTAAGTCAACTGCTTTTCCTTGCTATAGAAAGTCTTCCAGGGAAGACTCTTCTCCCACCCCAGGAATCCACAATCTGCCCCTTAAAATATTCTCCAGCATGAAGGTAACATAAGCATTCTCATTATTTATGTCTCTCGGTCTCACTCTTTTCCTGTTTTTGAGGTTATCAAACCCATGTCCTGCTACCACTATATTTTTAACTTATTTTTCTGTCTTGAGTTTATGCTTCTCATATTTTTTTTCCTAAATGTCAAGTATCTACAGAGATGTGGGCTTGGTCAATAGCTGGCACAAGCCTTGGATAAGATGTTTGAACTGCACGGGAGGGTCCATGGCCTTCATCACTACCAGTATACAGGGCTGTGCTAATGATCATCTCACATGGCTTAACTGGCAACAATGCTCTCCTCATGAAAATCTATGTTCTATATTGGGGTCAGGGTCTAGTAGAAAGACCTGAGTATATTTTTCAGACATTGGTTAAGAATACAATTTTTAACCCTATCTTTTCTGGAATACTTCCTATATGACATACACATGATGTGATAAAGCTAGCCTCCAGATCTAAAATTATCTGTCCAAAAAGAAAGAAAGGAAATGCCAGGTTTCAGTTCCTTATGAGAGAAAGGAGACTACATCTTTTGACTAGCGGTGAACATTGAATTCCAAAAGGAATGAGGAGTTCCCTAGGAGACATAGCATGAAGAAGACAGAATGTAAAGAGAGAAGTAGCTAGCAGATGGGAATGGAGTCACAGAGATTTTGGTGAGGAAGGAATACCTGCTAAGCCTGGGCATTTCTCTTTGCCTGTACAGCTGTCATTTCCTGGGCTTTCCCTTGATTTTGAGTTTCTGCCTCTTTTCTCATATCCAGACAAGAAATACTTTCAGTGGATATCAAAACTGTTCAAGAAAATAATGCAAATGAGGTTTTGGCAGTAATGACAGTCACAAACAACATGGATAGACCCATGGTGGTAAGTAAAGAATTTGGAATTAAGTTTGGTAAAGAAAGAGAGGAGAGGGGCCAGGGATTTAGCTCAGTGGTGCTACCACCTGCCTCGCAAGCGCAAGGTCCTGTGTTCAATCCCCAGTACCAAAAAAAAGAGAGAGAAAAGAAATATTATAGTAGAGTTAGAGTATGTCACCATTGAATTTAAATGAAAAGATTTAACATCTATCAAATGCTTCACTTGCCACATGTATTGTGTACATTGGCCTTGGACCTCTGTATTAGGATTTATGTGTTACAACTTTCCTTATAAAATTGAAGAAATAATGTTATGAAAAGGATAAGTTAGAGACATTTTTAACCAGGAGGTCAAGACTGATTTACCATGTAAAAAGAAAGGAGATTAGGAAGAAAGAAAAAGAATGAGAAGAGAGAAAAAACATAGAGATAAAAACAAAGATTAAATAATGGTCAGTGACCACATTGGACTTATGCTTTCACCTACTCCCATCTTCTGCCACCACCCCCTGCAATAATGAGTTTGAAGCAGGGAATTACTATTCAACTCTGCAGGTTGCAGTAATTGTGATCTCTCTCAAAAGTGAAAGACTACATTCAAGCAAGCAGTGGCTTCCAAGGTTCCACTCCCACCCCTGATCTCTGAACCTCTGCAGCCTCCAGCCTCACTGTTTTTGGTAACTATGTCCAGTTGCTGCAAGATTCCCTTGGGCTTTATTTTCTAATACTGAGAATTGAACCTAGGGCCTTTACACTGAGCTACATCCACAGCCCTTTATTGTTTTATTTTGAGACAGGGTCAAACTAAGTGTCTAAACTGGATAAGACAGGGCTGTGCTAATGATCATCTCAGATGGCTTAACTGGCAACAATGCTCTCCTCACGAAAATCTATGTTCTATATTGGGGTCAGGGTCTAGTAGAAAGGATGGGTTGTAAATTGTAATACTCCTGCCTCAGCCTCCCAGAGTGCTGGCATTACAAACATGCCAGGTTTCCCTTCAGCTTTTTAGAAAACACGCACAAAACTGAAATTTGAAGAGGTACCAAAAACTTTGAGAGAAATACAAATATAGTACCTAATACTTATTCAAACATAAATGATGCTACAAATGCTTTTGATGTTATTTCAGAACGACAACATCTTGACACTTTCTCCTGCCTAATCTGGCCACAACAGATTGCTTCTCCCATTTGGAGAAACATCATTCCCTATATCCTCTCCTTGATGAAGTTTTATAATTTTATTGGCTGAGGAAAAATAGGTGATAAAAACTACTCAGCTACTCAGTCACAAAGCACAAAAACTCACAAACCCATCCAAACAAGACAGTCCTTAGGCTCAGGGGAACAAGGACCATGTCACAAAGCTGAGAAGAAGGATAGTGGAGTTAATACATTCTGTTCTCATCTCTCTTGGTTTACAAAAAGTTAATATCATTTCCCACTGACTCTACTGAGAGTGTCAACCCTAGGATACATTAGGTCCAACTAGTGCCCCAGAAATAGCCCAATAGTAGTGCTCCCTTGGCCCTGCTAATGCTAAAATAAAGAACTACGCACCCTTTCACAAACCAGCTGATGAGTTAGATGCTAACTAGACCCAGACAGTGATGTTTACCTCCACTCCATGAGATGGAATCAGACATATGTGATATCTGACAATTTCTTCAAATTAAATTATTAAGCTTTAATCACTCACCAGGCCAAAGAAAACATTGTTTTGTTTTCTATAATGCAGATTAAATTTGAACAAGGCATACAAAGATAATTATAAAAAAGTTGGCTACAGTCAAGTAAGCATGATAGCTGGTGGAGGGGAACTCTAGGTGGCTCCTTCCTTCCTGTAGCACCGTAAACTATGCTAATTTTACTTAATGGATAATTCAGTGCTGCTTCATTCTGATCTGCACTCTTTAACCTTGTCTTACCTTCTCCTCAGATTAAAGTCAGCACTGAGAACAACCCAAGCATTACTTACCCTAACGGTCATTTCGTTTACATTGCCTGTGTGTCCGGTACACGCACTTTCTTCTGGGATATTATAGTCTCAGGTAAGTGAGACTACATCCTAACTAATCATGAATACCAGATAGGAGGAATATGAGAGAGCTTACAGG